AGGGGCCTGAGTGGCGGCTGGGGTGGGACTCCGGCGGTCAGGACGCCCGAATTCAGGAGGCTGTGGGGGATGTAGGAGAAATTGGGCCTGGCGATTCCCGAAGGACCGGGTCCGAGGGTCCCGGAGCCGGGAAACTATACTCCTAGCGCCGGTGTCTCGGACCGTGGCCACTGGGGAGGGTCTAGGCAGAGTCCTTGAGAGGCGGTACCTGGAGTGAGGGTGGAGGGCACAGGCCGGAAAAGCAGGGTATGAATCTGGAAAGGGGTCCCCAGAAAGGGGGAGTTACCGTCTCCCCAAGAGATTGAAGGGAGAAGGAGTTCGGACTGCGGGTTTGAGGAGTAGGATCCCAGGGACTCAAATGCCTGGGGGAAAGGACGAGAAGGAGGCTCCAGGCCTGGGGGGAGGGTCCCATAGGAGGATGGGCTGCAGAATAAGGAGCTCTGGGCCGGCCAGGTAGAGGGGAGACTGGAGCAAGGGAGGCGCGTGTTCAGAGGGGTGCAGACCGGCAAGATCCCAGCTGGGTGTGGAGGCAGACAGAAGAAAGTGTCAGCTACCTGGACAAAAGAGTCGGCGACCGACGGGGTTTAGGATGCTTGCTTTCCAACTGAGAGGACTGGAGCCGAGCAGGCAGCGGGCCGTCAAGCCCTGGAGCCAGCCGATGGGGGTTGGGAGAAAAGCTAGCTAGAGCTTTGCCAGTCCCGATCCCTGGGGGGATCTTGATGCTGTGAATAGGAGGGTGGGGGCTGGTCTTAGACTCCCGGGGTCCTTATTGGGGTGGGACAGAGTTTCAAAGTTTCAAGAATTCTAGTTAAGGAAGGTAGAGTCTCACTTCTTGGTTACATTGTTTGGCGAGTATTTAGGGGGTCTCAAACTTTTCTGTCAAAAAGGTGATGGATAGAGCTGGTATTCGGGGATGTTGAGGTCTCTGGCTGCCATAGGCTGAAGATCCCCAGGTGAGCCCCCATATCATGGCATTGTGTGGTTTAGGGGAAGGGGGATATGAGGATTGCAGGTGAGGAACTGGAAATCCTTCCGTTTCATGTTTAGGGGCCTCCTGGTTGGAATATCTGGGTTGCCAGTTGGACTTTGGGAGACCACAGGTATGAACTGGGGATTTCCTGTTCAGAGGGTCCAGTGTTGGGATCTGCATTCCGTGGTTGATGTTGAAGAGTGTCTGTTATTAGAAGTCCTAGCATGAGAAGTCAGGGGCAGAATCTCTGGTAAGGAATTTTTGGGTCATTTGATGGGGGATGGGATCCTGAAATTCCTAGTTTTCTGATTTCTAGCCAGCAGATGAGGATCCTAGTTTTACTGGGATGCTCTGGTTGGGATGCTGGGTCAAGAGTATCCCAGCTTGTTGTTCAGGCATTCTGGAGTCTCTAGTCAAGATCATGGTTCCAGGTCTCTGGGTCTCACTGTCCTGGGATCCAGAAGCCTGTAACCAAGACCCAGTATCCCAGGTTCAGGGGCTGCCTGATCTGGGAGAGTGAAATTAGGGTTCTGGGATTTGGGCTCTGGATTGTGACAGTGATCTTAGATTGGAGTGCCAAATTGAGGTCAAGGCACAGGATCAGCTGTAGAAGGTCATGGGTCAAGTTCATGGTGTTAGAATGGGGTATTAGGGTCAAGTCCGAAAGTTTAAGCTTTGATGGGGCCTCTGCTCAAAGTTTCAGGTAAGTCTGAAGTCAAGGGTCTGAAACCAAGATATGGGGGTTAGGAATTCTTGATTAGTGACCCACTTAGGAGATGTCTGCAGTTCAGAGAAAGAGTCCAAAGGAAAAATATCGTGGCATTGGATCAGGGCATGGGTTAGTTCCTGAATAGGTCAAGTTACACAGCATCCAGAATCTAAGCCTACTACGCCAGGTGCAGGCACCCAAGTCCTGGCTTAATGTTGAGATGATGGGTACTGGTCTGGGAGCTTAGGTCAGGACAGAATAAGGGTTGAATCTGCCAGTCAGCCTAATAGTTCTATGTCACCAAGGCAGGCTCAAGGTTGGGGACAATGATGGGGTCTGATTCTAAGACTAGGTTCTCAGTTCAAGGCAGGAGGTTAGGGCTGGGAGTCTGGTGATGGAATTGAAAATCTAGAATTAGAATTTGTGATAAAAGCCATGACATTTGGAACCAGGTTCGGGCCTGGGATAAGTAGATTTGAGGCTTGTGGTTGGAAATCTAAACCTGGGGTTAGAAACCTGAAGCCAGAGCCAGGGCACAGTTAGCAGACACCAGAAGGCCCATCCTGAGGTTGGGGGTCAACAGTTGGTGGCTCCAGTCAGTATGCAGGGCCGGGTGGTGGCTCAGGACACAGAATTCGTGTTGGAGAGTTTGGTTGTGGAGTTAGCTTTCTGGCCAGGGCCCGGTATACCAACTGGCCCCACAGGTTGGGGACTTGGGTGAATCCGCTCGTGGTTCTGCACCTCAGATTTTGGTTCCGCAGGCCCCGCAGGGCGCCCCCCGCCGCTGAGGATGAGTCACTGCAGCAGCCGCGCCCTGACCCTGTTGAGCAGCGTGTTCGGTGCATGCGGCCTGCTCCTCGTGGGCATCGCCGTCAGCACGGACTACTGGCTGTACATGGAGGAGGGCACCGTGTTGCCGCAGAACCAGACCACCGAGGTCAAGATGGCGCTGCACGCTGGCCTCTGGCGAGTCTGCTTCTTTGCAGGTGCAGCAGCTCACCTGCTCTTTGCCCACCCGTCCAGCCTTGCCTAGGACCCTGAGTACTTATCCCCATAGTCCCCGTGTACCCGAAATCCAGAAGCGGACCCTGCTTCCCTTCTGGAAGCCCAGGTTTCTATGTGGAGCCCGTGCCTAGCCCTTCATTCGCTAGACCAGGAGCCTGATGCTGACAGACTTCAGGTCTCAGACCCCTGCCCCCCCCCCCTCCTCTTAACCCTAGACTCAGTATTCTAGAGTCAGAGTCCCCTGGAAAGTTCCAGGGTGACATGGGCCGGATAAAAGAATCCAGCCTCCCGGTTGACCACAGAGACCCCGGCCTTTCAGGAATCCCGACCTGCGGTCCTTATTCCTATCGGGTCCCGGAGTCTTTGGTGAACAGTCTACTCTCTGAGGACCCCAGGTCCAGCCCTGCCCTCTTCCAACCAGGTGTCCCCAGGGCAACTCACAAGAATTCCTGATCTTCCCGCCTACCCCATGCCCACTCCTAATGACAGAACAGCCCAGAACCCTCGGGGGAAGTGTGGCATCTGGGTCCTGGGGACGCACTGTCCGTCCTGCCCCTAAGGACCTCTCTGGAACGTCCCTGTCATCCTGCCATCTTCGTCTTCCCACCAGGTCGAGAGAAGGGTCGCTGCGTGGCCTCGGAATACTTCCTTGAACCAGAGATCAACTTGGTGACGGAAAACACGGAGAATATTTTGAGTGAGGGGAAGAGGGGGGAGGTGCCCAGAAAACTAGCGGGGTCACGGGAGGAGGGACAACGTTGGGAAGGGGAGGGGTCCAAGGGAAAGAGCAGAGGCTGGAGGAAAACCCAGTGGAGCGAGAAGGGGCAGGTTGAAAGGGCGGGGCCTGGGCAGGGAGGGGTCAAGTCCGGGGTGTGACAGGGAGAGGGGTGGAGTCAGCCGGGAAGTATCAGGAAGGGGAGGAGTCAACGGGGAAGGGGAGGAGCCGGAGGGACCAGGGTGATGAGAGCATGGGGAGGTGTCCCACTGGAGAGTCCCCCTCACCCTGCCTCTCACTGTCCGCCTCTCCCAGAGACAGTGCGCACGGCCACTCCCTTCCCCATGGTCAGTCTGTTCCTCGTTTTCACGGCCTTCGTCATCAGCAACATCGGTCACATACGCCCTCAGAGGACCATCCTAGCCTTCGTTTCTGGCATCTTCTTCATCCTGTCAGGTGAGCTGAAGGAAAGAACTTGTAAGTTGGGGAAATTGTTTCAAGTGGCCCCTCTCCCACTTAGAAAGCTATTTCCTTGCTGTGCGTCTTGGGAGGAGTTGCAGAACCTCTGAACCCCACTTTCCTTCTCCATGAAACAAAGCTAGCACCGTGCCCACTGCACAGTATTGCTTAGAGAGCCAAATCATAGCAGATGCGTATTGGGTGCTAATAAGCTGCCCTGCTCTGTTCTGATACAACAACCCTGTGAGGTGAGTGCTATTAATAGCCCCATTTTACAGATAGGGAAGCAAACTCTCAGAGGAATGAAGTCATTTGCTGAGGGCCACACAAGTAGTGAGAGGCAGAGCTGGGAATCAAAGGCACGCCAGTCGCCTCCAGAGCTGTATTTTTAACCACCACTGATATTTTAGTAATTAACAGTTTACAAAGCTCTTTATTTTCTGTGCAACATTTTAATTTTTCTCAAAGAGAAAGTCAAAAGTTTTGTAGTGAATGCTCATGTGTGCAGGACTTGGGTCAACAATTGGCATCTTGGCTAGATTTGTGTTATCCTATATCTGTTCCTCTGTCTGTATTTCTAACCCTCCATTCATCTCTCTTACTTTTTAGATGCGTTTCAAAGTAAATTTCAGGTGTCTGTTCACTTAACCCTAAACACTCCACTGTGCATGTTGTTAGCTAGACTTCTGTATTTGTATACAGTTCTTTTTTCTTTCTTTTGAGGTTAGAGGCTCTTTGTATGATCTCGTACTCCTCTCATGATATGTCTCAGAGTTGTTATCATCACTTGCTTGGTAAAGTGGGGTAGTGAGATCCAGAATTGTGTAGAGACTTGCCCAAGAGGGCTGGGGGTACAGCTGAGTTGGTAGAGTGCTTGCTTTGCATGCACAAAGCCCTGGGTTCAATCCCCAGCAACACACACACACACACACACACACACACACACACACAGAGTTGCCCGAGATACCAGTCTAAACTGGTACCAGATGACTCAAGGGCTCAGACTTCCAGTAGACTTCACTCTGGAGTCTACCCTTCCAAATTTCAGCTCGGTGCAGTCCACTTCAGTCCAGCTTAGCCCAGTGCAGCTCAAACATGGGAGGCCTGTCAGTCCAGTCCAGCTGACCCCAATTCATTCTGACTCAGTTCTCCAATTCCATTTGAATGAATTTGCCACAATTTAATTGAGCTGAAGTCAGGTGCTTGCAGCTGAGCTGATGTCTGATAAACAAACCCTGCCATGTGTCTCACCTCCACGCTGTCCCCCTAGAGCTGCCCTTGGCTTGGTCTTTCTGGTTGACTGTGCAGAGTTAAAGAAGCCTCTTCGTGTTCCCTCCTCCAGGCTCCTCCCTGCTCCTCACCCAGCTCTCTAGCCACACCTCCCCCGAGCCTTCAACTTCATCTGATGAGACCTTTTCCAGGGAAACCAGGGTGCGACCTCTGTGCAAACTCAGATCACGGCATGTGGAGCCAGACTGAGCTAAAATAAGACATGTAGGATATCACCATCCCAGAGTGTCAGAGCAGCAAGGTCTCATCATTTTTCAGATGGAAAAATAGTGGCCTAGAGAGAGAAAGTGGGGCAGGAGTAGGTAGCATGGGGAGTTTTATTCAACCTACCCAAAAACGTTAGGAGGAAAGCCCCATTGTTTGCAGTTCACAGAAATGAGAGGGACTAGAGGAGGTGACAGCCCGTCAATGGAACTGGGATTAGAACCAAGGGTATTCTCCCAAACCACGTGTTCACACCCCACTGCACCAGGAACTGCCTGCCCAAGGTCAAGCTGAGAGTCAATGGTGCGGTCAGGGCTGGACGTCAGACTTCTGATCCAACAAGAGTCATTTGGAAGAGATCGAACCCTATGTCTGAAACTCTTCCTTGAGTTTATTTCCGAGACTACGACCAAAGGGTTCTATCCTAGGGAACCATTCCTGTGTCCTCAGGCTTATGGGGTACAGTGGGTAGAGGCACATGAGGCGAGCCTAGGATGACCGGGGTCCAAATCCTACCACTAACACTTACTACCTAGGCGACTTAAGACCTTCTCTTGCTGAATCGTTGCCAATAACACTTCATTTATGGACCCTGAAATTTTAATTTGATGTAATTTTCATGTGTCATGAAATAGTATGCTGCTTTTATTTTTATTTTTCCCCACCAGTAGACAAAAAAAAAAAAAAAAAAGAAAGAAAGAAATTCTTAGCTGGTAAACCATACAAAAACACTTGGTGAACCAAACTGTAATTGGCCAACCCCTGATCTAGATCATGGGTGTAAAGTTCCTGGACTGAAATAGCGCGTACTCAACATGATGTAGGGGAAATAAACGAACAAACACTGAAATGCAGAAGTAGTAACAGTCACACAGAGTGCCGTGGGGCCAGCAGTTCTGAGCACTTTATACAAATTAAGTTATTTATTTGTCTTGACTTACAAGGCAGGTACCCTTATTATCTCCATTTTACCACGGAGGAAACAGAAATACTCAGAGGTTAAGTTTTCTGCATTAAAAATGGATTCCAACCCAGGCCTCCCTCACCATGGCATTACCCTGCCCCACTAAAATAAAAAAAGTTCTAAAAACAAAGGCCCTAGCACCAGTACCTTAGGTCTTGGAACAGAATGACCTGGTCCAATCGCCTCATGTTCACAAAGAGGACTCTGAGTCTCAGAGACAGACAGGAGTGGCCTGGGGAGGGTTTATTGATGGATTTGGCCCTTGGTTCTAGAGAAAGCAGTGAGTGCTGGGGCCAGGGAGGGAGAGGGGCATTGCTGGGGGTTAAACGTCCCTCAGGAACTGTTCTGGGCATGGACTAGGGGAAGGAGACTGGAAGTGGTGTCACAGAGGAGGTGGCTCCTGTAGTGGCCCATGCAGGGGCCAATGAGGTCTGTGTGGGATGGAGGTGTGGGCATAGGGGCAGTTGGACAGTTGTAGGAGAGAAGGACATCACAAGAGGATCAATGGAACCACATGACTTGCTGGGGGTGGGGTAGAGGGCATTGATTTTCTTTTTCTAGGCCATAAGAGGCAAGCACATGCACATGCGTACACACGCTGCTCTCACCCATGACCTGCGCCTCTGCTCACTCACGCAGTCATGGGGCATCCTGGGTGCCAGACCTGGTGCTTGGCCCTGGAGATACAACCCACTCTAAACAGGAATCCAGACATAATCTGGGCCTTGGTCAGAGCCTGTCACCACCAACTCGTATCCTTTGGCTGGACTTAAATACAGAATGCCTGCCCCAGCCCACAAGCCCTTCCACAGTCTGACTGCTGCTCAACCTCTGACCCCACTTCCTAACCCACTAGCACTCTTGACTCAGAACATGGATCGCAGGCTGATCTCGGGATGTCTAACCCACGTTCCTTTCTGTGTGGGTCGCTTCCTCCTCATCCTCAAAGGACTCGGACCTTTTTCTCTTCAGAGCTGCCTTCTCTAACAAATCCAGCAGCCCTCCTTATGTGTCTTCATAGTATTTACTGCTGTTCTCGTCTCGTGTGTTTTCAGCCTCTTTCTACCAGAATGTGAACCCCAAAGGGCGCGGACCTTTCAAAACCTGTGCTTGCTTGTCTGTAGAGCCTGCTTGAGTTGCTGCTGTGACGTAGACGCTAGAGTGTGTGGGGAATGGAGGAGTGTAGAAGGGGGAGTGACAGCTCGGGGCGTTCTGGGAAAAGGGGAGATGCATTCACCCAAGACAGTCGGGTGGCATGGGCAGTGGCCAGGGAGGGCTTCCAAGAGGAGGTGGCACCTGCGTTGGTGTTGAAAGGGCAAGGGAGGATTTTTCCAATGAAGAAAGGAAATTGCCTTGTATGGAAATGTTCCTAGCATGTGTAGAGGCACAGGAGCAGCTGTCCGTGGTGCTGAAACCCCATTGTTCTGAAGCCAGGTTGGTTCTATTCAGCTTGATTCTGCCTACTGTGATCTAAGAATTATGAAGCAGGTGAGGGAGTGGGAAGAGAGTATGAGAGCTAGATTACAGAGACAAGAAGGGGGGAGGGAGGGAGGGGTGTGTGTGTGTGTGTGTGTGTGTGTGTGTGTGTGTGTGTGTGGTGTGTTTTGGAGAATCAGAGCCATCGTGAAATGGCCAGGATGGAGAAAGGAAAGAATGGCTTATTTTCTAAAAAGCCTTTTCCTCATTGGAGATATTTGCTACAGACCCTGCTTCTGGCTCTGCTGGTGGGGACTGTTGGCTACTTAGTACTGTAAGGTAAAGCAGGGGCTCACCTCCAGGCTGGAGGGGGTGGGAGGCAGGATGACCAGCAGGAACTGGATCAGCCCTGGACTTCCAGACTGAAGGTGGATGCCTCCCCTGTGGGAAGCCGGGAGCCGAGAGGAGCTGAGAGCACAGAGGGGTAGAGTCCATCCTGTTTTTAGAGAGAACCAGGATCTAAAGCAGGATGAGAAAGATTTTGAAACAATGACGCAGGCATAGAGAATAAGGGCCAAGCTGGGCTAGGCACCTGGGGCTGCAGGGAGGGTTTTGATACATGAAGAACCCAGAAATAAAGTCGACCATTTGGTGGGTGACGACTCTTTGTGGTGGAGAGAGAGAGGGATGGAGATGACCCCTGCATTTGGTTTAGGCACCGAGTGGGGGTGGCATCTGGGCTTCCTTGGTATTCCTTTCCTGTATACCTGCCTGTCTTTCAACCCTGTCTCAAGGGCTTTCCACTGGATAGCACTTCTCAGGCTCTCTCTTCCCAAGTGTCGAAATTAAGGAATACTAGAGGTCGGAAGTGCTATGGTGTCCAGAGTGAGGAAAGTTTCATTATTAGAAGGGATGAAGGAATAGTGGGATTTGGAGTGAATGAAAGAGCAGGCCAGGCACCATGGTGCCTGCTTGTAATCTCAGCTACTCCAGAGGCTGAGGCAGGAGGATGGCAAATCCTAAGCCAGCCTCAAAGCAACTTAGCAAGATTCAGAATAAAAAATTAAAAGGGTCAGGATGTAGCTTAGAGTGTTACCTGGGTTCAATCTCCAGTGCACAAAAA